ATTATAGCACTGGTCGAATGTTCCTGTCTATGAGAGTTATGCATAATATCTGCAAAAGTGTTTGAGATATTACAGTTATGCATATTAATGAGTTATATCACTAATTAGTCATTTGATGTGTTATATTACCCCTGACCATGTATTGAGTCTAATGAATGTTTATTGAGATATCTGAAGATAACAAAGGATTAATTTATGCAAATTAGATTTAATATGCACATTTTTCAATGCCAAACTAAGCAAATCTGTTCACTGTCCCTAGGCACTTATGTACTATGTGCTAAGAAATCATTGAATATCAATGAAAAAGCTAAGGATTATAATGGATATGCATTGTGCACATTCATCTATGTTCCAAGTTTCTTTAAAATGTCATGGTTAGTTATTGAGACTGGAAAGCTGAAAATTATATGATGAATAATGACGGATTTTAGCCCAGGTCTGGGCATTGTCTAAGAGCATATATCTACAAAGTTCTATTGAAATGCGATAATTAGTTCTGAGATATTGATAGAAAAGTTGGAAATTGACTAGTTATTATGCAAATTAGGTAATAAATGCTTGTACTGAAATACAAAAGGCGGTGGTCGTCGCGCAGCGCAGTAAACAAACAATGTATTTTACACGCATTGTATACGCCCATATCGAGCAGGACGCGGCGCCCTCTAAAGATGTAGTAAAAGACCGTCACTTAATAAGCGACAGAAAGTTTCTCAACGATAACAATTAAACTACGGCGTGTTCTCCGATACAGATGCTAAAAAATCATTGAAATTCTGAAAATCACTTGTCAGCATATCGATGGATCATTTTTTAAGACAGCATGTCCGAACAGAATACAAGTGAATCCTCTGATTTGATATAGGTCATGATTTTGACGATTCTGGAGTAGACACTATTGTAGATAGGGTAGTTTTATATGGAGATAGTGAAACTGGTACTGAAAGTAGCAATTACAACACTCAATACTAGTCCATTTATATGTTGTATAGTTGTCACACAAAATTATCTGTTTCATGCCATACCAAAAAAAAATATTCTAGTGTAGAGGGCAGTTGTGTTCTGCAAATACATACTAGTTGTACTTGAGATGTGCTAACAAATGAAAATTGGGTAATTAATATTCACGGTTTTGATTCGAAACTGATCACTACTATGGATTAACCCAGAGCACCTTTGTGCCAAGTTTAATTAAAATGAGATAATTGATGGAAAAACGGATGAATTATGCAAATTTAGGTTACTGTATGAGCGTAAGTAGGTAATTGATTGCTTATAATTGGTAAGCACAATTATGTGGAATTAAGTTATTATAATTACTTTATTATTATGCACAGAATTTAACCTAAAACTAACCAGGTCTGTACAATTTCCTGTGACATCCATGTACCATGTTTCAGTGAAATATGATGATTAGTTAAAAAGGTCAAAAACTGTCAAATGATTATGATTTTCAATCCGAAACGGATCAGGACCGTACATCGTTCAATACCACCTAAGTACCAAAAGTAGTAAAAAAAATAAACACTTGAATGGATAAATGTGATATATAGTATTTAAAGTATAATATTTGGTAATTATCCTAAGTAACTTTTCAACTTTTTTCGATTTTAATGGTTCTTTATCGGTAACAATACAGTACAGTACACAGAAAAGAAAACGTATTGCATGCATAGTGTCTTGTGTCACTCGGAGCTCTTGTTCGCTGTTCTGTTCATTTATAGAATTTGTACTTGTACAGTGATTTATAAATTTACCTTAATGCAGTCTACCGAAAGTAACCACACACACACATTTAATATCAAGGAGGTTCCAAGAACTAGTTGACAATAGAATTCTTTATCCCAAATCGTAAAAAAAAAAACACAAATATATTATCGCGCAAAAAATAAATATAAGAGAGGAAATCTCAGGGAACATACACACCTCATATCAAAGCAATTTGAGCAGTAGTTTTCAAAGTTTTGACGCAAACTCAAAATATTCGTCAAAAATGTTAAAGTAAAGATATTAACACAGAATCAATGTGGTAATTAGTATCAACATTGTATAGTTATAAGGCTACTTATGGATTTCTAGTTTTGATTCAAGATATTTAAGGATATCAATACAATTTAGCTGACTGACGGTCATTTTCTTCAAAACAAATGGAATTTGAGCAACTGTTTCTCAGGCAAGCCCGGCCTGTGTCAATTTAATTCAAACGTGGCATGGTGCCATCGCATATTATGGGCTAGTGATGCGTGTCATTTTATTTTTGTGATTTGATTCACAATTGCCGACTGGCGGCCATGTTGGTGTCATTTGTATGTATCCTTGATCATTTCTCTGACATGCCGTGATCAGTTTTGTAGACGAAAGATACAAAGACAACACATAATGCTATACAGAGGCGTGTTAATTTGTTTTGTGTTTTGACGACTTATGGCCGACTTGTGGCCATGTTTGTCCATCAAAGCACACACAAACGAGTTATTGTCAATAACGTAGTTCCCGTTCAGTTGATAGTGACTGTGTCAATTATAAAGAATGAAAGATATGGACAGTGTTGCATGTGGTGTTTAGTCAATCTGATAAAACATAATATGTGCTAGTTTAAGCAAAAATGATTGAAAACACCTGAAAATAAAAATCATTATGGCCGTCAGTCGACCTGTTTGAATCAAGTCACAGAACAAACTCATGTGCATCAGTAACCCATCATGCCCCAGAAATTCAGAATTGACCAAGGCATAACTTGGAAATTGTTTATGACATTTTTTGGGGTGTGCGGGGACAAAAATAGCCACAAAACTCATATATCGAGAAAAAAAAATAAACGTGCCAATATGTTCTATATATTGTGTTTGTATCAATTTTCAAAAAAATCAGTAAAATCATGTAAAAGAAATGGTCAACAAAGGAAAATAACACCAACAAGGCCACCGTAGACCATTTTGAATCAAATTACAAACGAACTAACGTGCATCAGTCACCCCCCCGTGAGTGATTTTCATGCCAAGTCTGAAAGAAATCGGCAAAGGCATGCCCGAGAAACAGTTCGTGACATGTTCAAAGTTTGTGATTTTAAATTCAAACCACTAAAATTAGTGACCGCCATTCAAAAATAACTGAGACATACCTAAACAGACAGAACACAAAATGACCTTCGGTCGGCCACTTTCAATCAAATCACGAAAAGTGTGCCGGGAGAACGCGTAAAATGTATATTTCGGAAAAGAACTGAATGAATGAGTTTTCCCGCTACAAATATCGATTTTGTTTTTTAGTTGAAGAAGGTGTTCTGCCGATTTCAATACTTATTCTCAGATGCTGAAGATAGACATTGTTCAATAATGAGGCAACGGTAATAGAAACAGGTACGAATTACATGGAACTGTGTAGATGTATTTATGCATATATTCGTTCTCTATATGGACTGTGATTCATATACCGGTAAGTCAACACGGTTTGAACACGTAATTCTTGCTGTAAAATAAATAGAAGATAGGTTTTTACCATACTTACACGAACTCTTTTAAGAAAAAAACATAAGTTTTTGTGTGTTTCAAAATGACCTTGAATAAATCCCCCCCCCCCCATCACGGTCGTATATTTTACCATGGGCGTACTAACACGGGTACGTCCATACCGTCCTTGTCCCGAGTTCGACGTATCGCATGGCATTGTGGGTAAATATATCCGCCTCTAGGTAACTGCGCATGATCCGTTGGAGATCGATCTGTAGTCGGCCATATTTTCATTTTTCTTTGTCGTAGTACTTGTTTTGCTGCTGTTTTACTTTGGATTTGGTGCCAACATACCGTCCATGTCAGAACAACAAGCAGCCCTTCTTCTCAGGAAGCAACTCAACGGTATGCTTTGGTAAAATCCGCTGTTCGGTTCTGGGCAGCCTAGACCAAGTTTGTGGCACGCAGTTTACCGAAACTCAAAACTGAACGACACCGTCACCGGAGTGCGAGCTTCCCGAATGTTTCCTAAAATTCATTCCCGGGACACGCAATTTGTGTATGTTTCGTGATTCTACCGTGCTCAATCTTTTATGATTTTAATTTGAATCAAAGTCTCAAAGTGGAGAACATATTTTTTTTTGTAATATTTGTTGCACTCGTTTTGTCATTCGCCGGATTTCAATGTTGTGATAGGGCTGATCAACGTGATCAGCTGTGCGTGCGCGATCGTCAAAGAAATTATCCTTATCATGTATTTTTCGCTCCAACAGATCTAAATAAGAACCCAGTGCAAGGCTTTTCAGCTGGGCTCATAGATGATGACGATATTTTTAAATGGGAAGTCCTAATAATTGGAACACAAGACACCCTCTAGTGAGTACTACGTATATTTTCAGTGACAAAATGCAGCCAAGGTTGGCCTTTGTTTATGCTGGTCTTCGAGCGGAAGTCAATATTACGACACTTCCTGGACCTTCGTATTATAGTGTAGGTGCGTCGGCATGGTAATAAACATCCTTTCTTTACAACGAACTAGTATTGACGACAATACAACATACTTCGAAATTCGTTTATAGCAAGTTTCTATATTTCAATCAGCAATTAATTAATCACCGAGTGTAGTTAACCAGGGTGTCTCTGGATGTACACAAGTTGAGGAGTTGTATAACTATAACTGGCTTTTTTCCATCCCACTTTTTTCGAAATTCTGAAGTGATAACTTTAGAATGGGTATGGGTCCTCTGTCAAAAAAATCAAAAAGTCACCACATTCTGACTTTTAAAGACAGGTCACCAGTGTGACTGTGTGTGTAGTTGGATTAGTACCTGCTTCAGAGTCAAATTTATCTTTGTTCAAAATACTAAACACGTGCATCCAAGGTTTTTAAACCCCCTTCTGACTATATAATGGGCCTAGAACATGGGCAATTATGATGTCTCTAATCAGCTTACAGGAGGAGGTGATACAGAAAACCATGTGTCAAAAATAAATTGTTGATCACTGTATGTAAAAGTTATAGTAAACAAACTACTCTTTGTTATCTGTTTACAAGCAAGCTTTCTGTTTATACACAGTCTTGGCACTTCAGCAGGCAGTCAGTTAAATCACGTTTTTTTTTATAGTAACCTCAGTAATTCTGCTCCTGGTTTCTTTGTGAAGGCAAAATTTCACTATTCACAGATAGTGTGAAATTTTGTGAATGAAGTGAAGTGTTTTCTCCTGCTCCAAATAATGATACCTTCGAGTTTATAAGTATTCTCAAAGACGGAGCTATGTCACCCCCCCTCCAAACGTTGCCATGACTAATCACAAACAAGAATAGACAATGACCTTTTGGATTGATGCTAACGAAAATTCTTTTGTCTTCTACTGACTTCCTGTTTCAGTCCACCTTCGAGAATGTTTTTCACCACTAGAATGATCACTCATGAATATCAATGAAATTGTAGGGCTTGAACTTCACAAATCACATCAAAGGCAATTGCCTTGATATCCTACAATATTCCCAGCATTATTTCTGTATGCCAATGTTTTTTTATAATTTTTGCTTTGACAAATTTGTGCCTTGGTATATTCTGAATATATAATTAATTTTTGGATCAAAATCATGCACAATCATCTTGATGAAAGTCGTTACACAGGTTCTATCAGTATCACACAGTACATGATTTATTGATTAGCTCTAAGACTTTAGGAGGAAATTTATAAAAACTGTTCAATCACACAACATACCATATTCCACTCTATTATAAAAGGCATTTTTGTTGTAAAATACAAATTCGAACAGGCTGAACACCATCTTCGAAGAAGTGGATTCATTTTTGCCTTTACTGGGCATGATGATTAATAATAACTGTTACATATTAACGTTTTTTTTAGTTTCGTTTTGGTTTTTGTGAAGACGAATGATTCTCGCTTTGGGTGCGAGAGGTCAATTCCTTTTTCAGTAAATTCAGTAAATAGTATCTGTCTGACACAGGTGCAGAACTTGCTGTCCATATATCATGTTTACATAATATAGGTCAGGTAATAAATCAATAAATGAGGGCCTGCTTTAAACATTAGCCATGTCAGTCTCAAGTTTGTCTCTATTAATGTTAACACAACTGCGGTAATATCTCTGCAAACATTAAGTATTAAGAGTATTTGGCACATGACACATGTCGACAATATTTCCCATTGAAATGTGACATGCACAATTTCATGTATTTTTCTATAATTTCTTTAACTTTTGATGAAGTGACATAATTTCTCATTGGTAATACAACAGGTCTTGATAAAAAAATTGACCCTCAATTGTTATACAACTTTTAAGACAGTTTATATAGTATACATAATTACAACTGAAAAAAATGTTATTGTATGGTATAACCAAGGAACTCAAGTGTATGTGGTAATTGTACTGAGAAATCAAAGGTAAAAAAAAAGAGTTGTAGTGGGTTCATGTTCTTAGTAAGTTATTGGAGGTCTGTGGTTTGTACTAAAATAAGGTCCCTCCTGTGTGTGGCTGCAACTGGGTCGAGTTGATAGGCAAACATTAGCTGTTAGCCCAACACATTGCTTTTTTCCCCTATTCATTTTTGCTATACATGGAGCCTCCAGCAGGTTATGTTGAATAACATGTTGTACCTGTTTAAAATGATAGGCGGCTAGCTAAAATCCTGGTCTGTACTAATGTGTAACCTGAATGCAACTAGTGACTATAATTACTTTGATTTATGGTCAATATGTGATTTGCTTTATTTTCACTCGTGTTCACATATCTAGGAATAATAACGGCTTTAATTTCTGTTCTTGAGGGCACCCAATTTCAAGTCCAAAATTCGTAAAAATACAGACTTTGAATTTGTGAAGTAAATATTTGAGTATTTTGAAGGTCATCAACGCATTCATCTGGAACATCTAGGCATCGCCTTTATGGCCCCTGCGATTTTTGAGCCCTGTAATAATAGCAAAAATAAATTCTGATTGAGAACCGTATTCAATTGTTACTTTGTTTGCTGTAGATTGTGGCTGTCAGAAATATTGATTTGACTAGATAAATATCATGACCATCAGTGACTTCTGTGCCTAAAGGCACACTAGTGACAGTTTTCACTAAACATTGTGCATTTCACCCTTTTTTCCCCCTTAAGTCATAAAATTCATACATTTTCTTAGTTTGACGTCAATAACCCTGAGTGATTACTGCTATCTGAGTCATTTTATCCTTAGCAAGCAATAGTATAATTGAAACTCGATCATTTTTTTGATATTGGAGCTTGTGAACCATATACTGTTTCATTTTTCTTATATGAGTGATTGTCCGTCGTTGTCTGTCGTCCGTGTCAATGTTTTACTTGTTCGACTTCTTCTTGAAAACTATAAGCCTGAATGCTTTGATACTTGGTGTATATGTACCTTGGGTAGACCTCTCTTAGATTTGTTTATTTCATGATGATATCTTCAATTCTCTAATTTTGATGAATATTTTTGACATTTTTGGTAAAAAGTGATATTTTCGACTTCTTGTTAAAAACCGCAAGTCCAATTGCTTTGATATCACATATATAGGTACTACATGTGGACCTCTCTCAGGTTTGTTCATTTGATGATGATATCTTCAATTCTCTAATTTTGATGAATATTTTTGTCATTTTTGGTAAAAAGTGATATTTTCGACTTCTTGTTAAAAACCGCAATTTCAATTGCTTTGATACTACATATATAGGTACTACATGTGGACCTCTCTCAGGTTTGTTCATTTGATGATGATATCTTCAATTCTCTAATTTTGGTGAATATTTTTGTCATTTTTGGTAAAAAGTGATATTTTCGACTTCTTGTTAAAAACCTCAAGTCCAATTGCTTTGATATTACATATATAGGTACTACATGTGGTCCTCTTTCAGATTGTTAATTTCGTGGTGATATCTTCAATTATCTAATTTTGATGATTATTTTTGTCATTTTTGGTGAAAAGTGATATTTTTGAATTCTTGTTAAAAACAGCAAGTCTACATATTGTTCATTTTCTAATGATAACAGCGGAGCTATCTCAGCTGAGAGGCAGCTTGTTTCTTTCTTTCTGGTTTTGTTCTATTAGTTAATGTTATAATTCCCCCTATGACTGGTTTTCTACTAATGTTCATGCATTTTGTTTTATTTCAGTGAGGGTGGATTTTTCAAAGCACATTTAATATTCCCAAAGGAATATCCACATAGGCCACCAAAAATGAAGTTTATCACAGATATCTGGCACCCAAATGGTGAGTGAATACTATGTTATCATGCATGATGTGCTGATGAATAAATCATTGCAACACGTCTATTAACAGTATTTTATTACCCGTGATTAAAACATCCAATATTTAGCCATATAATATAACATTGTCTAGTAACAAAACAGATTTAGGTTATATAGCCAGTCTTAAAAAAAATTTAAAGTATGATGAAAATGTAGCAATTTTGTTTTTCGTATTGGTTTGGCACTCTAAAGGTTAACAAAGACTATTCTTAGATGAAAATACAATTAATTAAAGACAAGATATTTTTATATCTGATAAATTATATTTTTTTTTAACTGCATTGTATTTTATGTGTGTGTCAAGTCAATTAAAGTTTGTAATAGAACAGCTTAAAAAAGAAGAAAAAAATGGAAAGACTTGTATTATAGCCAGTCAGTAAATACAGTGGCCCCTCGCTAAGTCGCGCCTCGGTAAGTCGCGATTCGGCTAAGTCGCGGGTACTTGGATGGCTCCCAAAATTTCTATTGTGTTTTGATAGCAGTTTTGAAGTACAAAGACTAATGTTTCGTGGCATAGTATTTTTAACTAACCGTTAAAGAGACAACTTAACACCCACTGTCCGTCAATTGCTGAGACGCAACGGGTGACGGCGGCCTTACTCAAGGTGTCAACAGGGGTGTCGAGTAGTGACCGTACGTACTTCTTGGCCGGTCCCATTTTGGTATACCTCTACAAAAACTCGCTACAATGAGTTGAATTCATAGAATTCTGATCTCTATTTCTCAATTGAGCAACATGTCAAAGCGAAAGCTATACAGCCTGTTCGTACGCCATAAACTCACGGCAATCGACCGTGTCAAACCAAGTTAAGGGGTGCACGTGGTTGAGCCCACTAT